ATGCCAGGTGCAGGGTCTGCTGGCTGGGTGCTGGCAGGCTTGCACCTGGCCACGGGCACCGTAGCCAGCCCGTGCCCCTTTAAGGGGTCCGGGGCCGGGAGGGGGGCAGAAGAGTTTCCCTGGTGATGCCCAGAGTGGCCACCAGGGAAAGCTGGGGAGGGCTAGCCTCCCACTAGTTCGAATTAAGTGGCTACACAGCCCTTAATTCAAACTAGTTAATTCGAACTAGGCGTTAGTCCTCGTGGAATGAGGTTTACCTAGTTCGAATTAAGCGCACCGCTAGTTCGAATTAAGTTCGAACTAGCGGTTTGCTTGTGTAGTGCCTATCAAAGTTAATTCGAACTAACGTCTGTTAGTTCAAATTAACTTTGTAGTGTAGACATACCCTCAGAGACAAGACAAGATGGGTGAGCTAACGTTATTTATTGGACCAGAGAGAGAGAGAGAGAGAGAGACAGAGCTGTTCCTCAGGTCTGGGAAGGGTCCCTAGGCTCTGTCTGCACTAGGGTTGTTAGTGTGTATTTGTGTAAACAATTAACCAATAAGCCTGGGCCACTTCTGCCTTTGTATCAGAGGTACTCTGGGCAAGCCATCTGCCCCTTCCCCATATGTAAATGTGTAACCACTAAAATTTCAAGCAGTTACACATTTACTTAAAAGAGTTAACATCCCTAGTTGACACTTATAATGCAGCTGCACTGCTGCAGCAAGCTGACGAAGATGCTGTTCGATGATGGGAGACAGCTCTCCGATCGGTATAATAAAACCTCCTCCAAGAGCAGCAGAAACCATGTTGGTGAGAGAAGCTCTCCCACTGACACAGCACTGTGCATGTGAGTGCTTCTATAACTTGTATCACTCAGCAGGTGGAATATTCAAAACCCTGCATGAGATAAATGTTGCCCACATAGATGGCAATGGAGATGTAGCCTAAGGCTATCCCAGCTAAATACAAGATGGGACAGATTGAACATGTGCATAACTATATGCCAAACTAAGGGTGCATATACACTGCACTGTTTCGAGATAACTAGCGTTATTTCAAAATAACAATGCGAGCGTCTCTACAATCATTCCATTATTTCAAAATAACAGAAGGCTTATTCCAAAATCTGTAAACCTCATTCTGCAAGAAGTAACTCCTATTTCGAAATAAAGCTGTGTAGACGCTTCATTACTGTGATTTCAAAACAGCCCCTCACCAGGGCTATTCTAGGTTATTCTTCCCTAGTGCCTCTTGGGGTTCTAAATCGAGATATCACGTCTACATTACGGAAGCCTGCCTCGGACTAATTTTGAAACTTCTCTACTGTGTAGATGTGCTATTTTGAAATAAGCTATTTTGGAGTAACTGTTCCAGAATAGCTTATTTTGAAATTAGTGTTCAATGTAGAGGTACCCTAAGGAATCATTCATAGTGAAATGGCCCGTTAGCACTCCTGTAGTGATAGGCCAAGATGGGGCTTAATGAGGTTGTGTCTACTAGGGATGTAAAAATGTGTTAACAGAGGTAACTGAGTAACCGCTAAAAATCATAGTGGTTACATGCAAATTTACAATTTGCTTTATACTTCAGAGCCCGCATCAAAGCCTCCCTGGGAGCAAGGCTGGAAGGGGTTGTTGCTATCCCTAAGCATGTTCCCGCTAAGGTGTGCGTGCCTGCGTGGCCACGCACAAAAAATTCTTCCCCCGCCTGTCTCCTCTGGAGAGCTGCGCAGCAACAGTTGCACTGCAGGCAGCTGCTCCAGTGGGTAGGGCTGGATGAGCCAGTGTGGTGAGGGAGCTGCTGGAGTGGGAAGCCAGGACCTGCTGCGGCCCCATGGCAGGGGGAGGAGGCCTGCTCCCGTGGCTGGGGCCGCTATGTAGTAGGGTGACACAGGCCAATTCTGTCATCTGGGGCCAGGAATGGGACCTGCTGCATGGCGGGATGTGGAGTGGGGTCTGCTCTGGCAACCAGGAATGTGTGTGTGTGTGTGTGTGTGTGTGTGTGTGTTGATGAATTGGGTGCCACGGTGGCACACATCCAAACCAGTGCACGTGACCTCAATATTGGTGCACAAGCCAAAACTCACTCCGCTCATGGTTGGAAAGTCTGAGAGGGAACAGTGGCCCCAAGGTGGCTTTGCTCAGGAGAGACACTGGAAGGGGCTGCTGCTGCTGGCCCTTCCCCCAGAAAGGCTTCACTGCAGGCTCTGAAGCTAGATCCCCGGGAGTGGGGCAGGTGCTCTTAGGAAACTAGTGTATAACCTGCGGTTGTGGCGGGGGAGGAGGAAAAGGGGAGTAGCTGGTCTGACACAGACAGGGGCTGCTCCGGTGGGCCCCGCAGGGCTGAAGCACCCTGTGCCCCGAGGCTGGTGGGGAGCTGCTCCAGCCCCTACCAGTTAACCAGAGGGGAGATGCCTCACACATTAAGGGTGAGACTTACCAGTTAATCTTTTACATCCCTAAAGTCTATACTAGAGCTTGCATTGGCAAAACATATCTCACTCAGGGGTGTGAATATGCTAAATTATGCTGACATAAGTGCACTCAAATGCAGGGCTATGTCAGTGGCAGAGCTTAACTTGGCAACATAACTTCTGCCATTTGTGGAGGTGGTTTCGTTATGCTGACGATAGGGCTCTGCAGACGTATTGCAGTGACACAGCTGTGTCAGTATAGTTACACCACTACTGAGCTGTACATACAGTCATGGCCAGTTACAGATTGTTGTAATAAACCATAAATCCAGTGTTTTTATTAAGACCATGATTTTTAGTGTGTACTTATGAATTTAAGCCGTAGGGGTCAAAGCAAAGCTGCACAACCCTTCAAAGGACAAGCCTGGAAGATTCATAAGTTTGCTAGAGACACACAAAAAAAATCATGGTCTCAATAAAGACACTGGATTTATAGCTTATTACAACAATCTGTAACCCATGTACCCTCTTTTTGTCCTAGACTACAGGGATTTTAATGGATAACTTAATCCTGAAAGGGAGCAGCCAGGAGCCGGCACATAATTGTTCATGGTAACTGCTAAGCCCAGCTTATTGGTTAACTGTATATGGTTATCCTGTTACATCCCTAATGATAACTACTTATAGTCACCCATCTGTTTGAGCTTGAATCTAGCTGTGCTCTTCTCCTTTCCCAGACTTGAGGAAGAGTTCTGTGTGACTCAAATGTTTGTTTCTCTCACCAACCGAAGTGGATCCAGAAAAGAGATTGCCTCACCCAGGTTCTCTCACTTGTTGTTCTCAACTTTAACTTTATTTTTACTT